CAATCCAAGAATTGATACGGGGATGTAAGCCGACAATGCGCAGCTCAAAAAGAAGTTTACTGTATTGCACCTTATCAAAAGCCTCACAAAAGTCGAGATAGATGACATCAGTAGGATAACCGCTACCCAAGTCCTTAGTCCGAATATTAAGTGTCTCCAACATCGCAGTCACTGTTGATTTCCCCTTCTGAAACCATGCCGGCTGGATGGGATAATAGCATGTTCCTCGAGGTGGGACTCGATCCTTTTCTTCAAAATCTTCTCAAAAAGTCTAGCAAATATGGACGTTATACTAATTGGACGATGATTATCAGGAAAAGTGGATGGTTGTTTCTTTAATAGTGGCGTAACAAAAAAAAACGCCTTCCATTTGACCGGGATCTCCGCGCGCATGAAGCTCAAGAACGGTTGAACAGATGCTCAAGGAAACTGGCTATAACGTGCAATTTTCTTGATAAAAACCAATGGAACATGGTCAGGAGTATCAGAAGTCGAAGAGGGCCAAGCTGCAAGGTGTTGATGAATATCATCTGCACGAAACCATATGGAATCACCCGTAGCAGGAAAAGAGGGGGAGCAGGGCTGGGCTGTACTGGTATCCGATGGTGCAAAGGCTTTAGCAGATCTGTTAGCTAACAGCTCGGCTTTCTGCTCATCCGTTCTAGCGTAACCCCATCTACAGATTTTAGAACGCGAATCCTGGGCCTGCTGTGAAGTCTCGAATTCATTAGACAATAAAACCACCCTTTATCAGAAGAACGGATTACTTTCCTTTCAATGAAGTCGTTGTACTTGCGCAATCTCCTAGCAAGAATAGCATCTATGCGACGGTAAGAGGTTCAGTCCTCAACGGACCCGCTAGCAACGGCGAGCTGTCAGGCAATATATTTACGGTCATGAGGAGAGCAGAGGTGAGGGGGAGGCGCGTTTTCTGCAAAGGTAGTCTCGCTACGGGAACAAATAATTGGATGACATGGTGCAAAATGAAGATAAAAAGCTCGTGTTTATCACTGGCGGTTGCCGCGCTATTGAACGATCCAACCCAATCAATGTTCGATAAGTACTCACATACAGCTCGCGTTCTTATACATTCTTTTTGACACAAGGTGGCCTTCACAAGAGGTAAGATTAAGATGAAAGAAAATAGCGGAGTGGTCACTGGTGCCAATGGGTGGGCCAACATAAATACTCTTGACCAAGCTCTTATCGTAAGATAAGACTAGATCAAGTGTGCTGGAACCATGCGTGTGCGTATTAACAAATTGTGAGAACCCATGAGATTCACATAGATCTAAAAATGCTTTAGACGTAGAAATGGTAGCAGTGGGATGAGCACCAGACGCCCACCTGATATCGGGCATATTGAAGTCACCGCATATAATGCAAACTTGATTACATGAGGTCATATCACTGATTGCTTTAAGGAGTTGGTGCACGTGAGCGGATGAACAGGAGGGCACCCTGTAAATCAACAAAAGTCGCACTTTTTTAATACAGGCTATGGAATATTACGGCTATGGAATATTAATATTAATAAAATGGATATTACGGCGTATCATCAGATCAGCAAGCTCCCGAGCCTTTCTTGTCAGCATCCCACGTTCAGAGAACCAATTTGAACTAGCTTTTTCGGCCGTTCACGCCTCGACCGAAAAAGCGCTCTCGGTAGCGCTTGCATACTGACCAGGGAACTCGGACAGAGGTTCTGCGCGCTATTTCCAGGTGACGTTCTAGCATAAGCATTGATACTTTTGCACTTCTAGACATATTTGTTGTGACGGTGGTCTTCATCGGCCGGCCTGGCAGTCTGGGCCTGACATTAGTACTAGAGCTATTTTTACAATTTTCGCAGGGCATAGTTTCAAAGGAATCCTCGGAAAAATTGTGATCCTATCTCACGCATTCTTCGCTGGCTTGTGACCTATCGTTCACGACAAGAACGAAAAGCAAAACCATAGCGTTTGGTAAAAAAATTCGAAATCGATTTGTCTCTATTCTCCAAAATCTCATCTTTTATTCCGATTCTTTCATTGCGTCGCCTGATACGTTTTCTGCCCTAAGGCGGACTTCTCTCCGTGCCCTTTCTTTGGCATTCGCACCGCATTCCACGCCTTCCACGTCCGATTGCGCGGGTGTGGTTTCTGTAAATTTGTCTCTCTGGAAGCTTAACCTCTGTGCGTGAAACTTTATGTGTTTTTTCTAGTGATTACAACTAAGGTACATATGCGTTTTGGGAAGAATGCAAGATTTTTCCGAGGTATAAGTTTATTTGACTTAACAAAACACGAGGTTGATAATATGATTCCGGCGGCTAACGTTTCGGCGGTTTGCCTTTTTCGGAGCCCAAAAAGTGGAAACCAAATCATGATTTATTCGACCAAATGTCTCGCTACCCTACGAGAGCTTCGAGACCATATAAACACATCACATAATTAGTAGGCTGATTAAGCACCGTACCTTCCTAGATCAGCGGAATCAGCTCACAGGAGGATATTATTTATTATATAGCAGATATTAGACTAATCCGAATTCAGGGTTTCCGGCTGGAAGGCTAACCTTATATAGGGGGTTAGTTCCCGCGTTATTGACACACATTCTCCCCTGCGGTTCATTTTTGGATTCCTGACCCGGATCCAAAACGCCTCCAGGGTTTTGCGCGCGGCTGTCTGGGTTTCGCGCGCCATGGCCTCGACGGCGACCTCAAAATCGTCCCCGTTAGGGTTTCCACCCTGTGGCAACCTAAAGCGGTGGACAGCTGTGACCTTGCCTTTCCTTCCAAATGCTCCTTGATACGCACGTGAAGTGGTCTAGCAGTCTCCCCTATGCATTCATCCCCACAAAGCCGGGCAAACAATCCTATAGACCACACCTGCGATGGCGCAGTCTCCCTCACTGCCGCTAGGACAGACCACACAATTTTCGGTAGCGCATGTGCGGGCGTAGAGACGGTTACGAACCAGACGATGTTTAAGGTTAGTAGGCGGAATATTCACAAGGCCAACAGTGTTCTCTAGACCCGATCTCTTCAGACACTCCCTTATGGAAGCGCTCACTTCATCAGAGATAAAGGGTATAGTGAAGGGGATTTTTCCGTTAGAAGGACCACCGCCACTTCTGCTGACTCCACCAATTGTCGCGGGCCTGCATGTAGGTGAAGAGTGTTTGTAGCCGTTTAGCCCAGCAATTTTTCGTGCCATTTTCACAGACTCCCTCCTTTCATCTTTGCCAGTGGAGATTTTTATTGCGGTTCGGAACATGCTCCTGGCCACCGCTTGTTTTGTCTGTAGAGGATGCGCTGACCGCCAGTGAAGAATGATGTTTTTATTGCTGGGCTTCCTGTACCATTTTGTAGCAAACTTACACCCTTTGAGGCTAATTTGGACATTGAGGAAGGCGAGCCAGCTTCCGGACGGCTTCTCACGATTAAGCTTAATAAGCTCAGAATGTTCATTGATAAGATCAAAGCATGTCCATCTCTTCTTGCGTGGAGCAAACAACGAAGCAGCCGTCGATGTAGCGGCAGTACAGCATGGGGAGACGTTCCAAAACTGGCGTTTCTATTTTAGCCATGAATGCTATGGCCAAACTAGGGGCCAGCCGTTGTCCCATGGCTAATCCTCGAATCTGCGCGAAGTACTTCCCCGCCCACTTGAATACGTTGCAACTTAGGCATGCCTTAAGGAGCGCCATAACTTGACCTACAGAGAGCCCATTCATGTCAACTGCGTGGCTGTGCTGGGTTAGAAGCTCCAAAATGGCCTCCATCGCAGATGCATTGCTTACGTTAGTATAAAGAGCTTCCACATCGAATGATTCCATGACACAAGTACTGTTGAGCCGCACTCTTTTAAGGTGGTTCAGGAACATTTGAGTGTTGGCAAGGTGCGACGGTATATACTGAAGCAACTGTGTCAATATAGTGTTGAGAAACCATGCGATCCTGTCAGTGGGACCCCCCACGCAGCTAACAATGGGCCTAACCTTTATTGCAAGAAGAGTTATTGAAGCTATATTGTCCGTAGGTGAAAATTTATGGGTTTTTATGACAGGTAGAGTACGGGGCAGCAAGGTGACTCTACTTTGAGACGTTTAATTATATTAGTGTCAAGACCTGTGACTTCGCCACCGTCACCCATTCTCGATTCAGACTTCGAAACTGCGACTGGAACTCTTTGGCTAGACGGTCGGTAGAGGGAGCGATCTTCAAGGTGCCGCACTGTTATGTCGCAGTCGAGCTGACGAGGAATCACCACGAACTCCCTCCCTTGTCACCTACGGATAGCCTGATGGTTTTTGACAGGATATGCTGTACAGCAAGTCAAATGTCGAGCTCTGCACATTCGATAGGATGTAGAATATGTGGCGCTCTAGACTAAAAACTCCTTTCCGTGGGAATGCAATTTTTGTTTTTCAATGCCTATTGTGCTGTCGGTGGTGCTGAAAGGTGACCGACTTCAGTAGCCTCTGGAGATGATAGGTTCTCCTGATAGGTTAGAACATCATCGTCGCACAATGAGAGGCGAAGATACAGTTTTCACCTGCATCATTCCTTTATCACACCAATCGAAAATCACGACCCCCTTCAGAAACCTCTAATACGAAGCTCCCTCCAAAAATCACTGATAATTTGCACTTTGTGGAGATCTCAACGTGCGATCTACCGACGCAAACGCGGTGTATTGCCACAGTATTATCCCATCGGTGTAACGAGTCACCTTTCCTGATTTCAGAAGCACTTTGGTAACCTCATATCTTCTTTTTACACAGCAATAAATTTGATACACAATTCCCTCGAAATCGCACTCACAAAAACACACTAACAATGAAAACATCATGAACAAATGACGAAGTAAAGTGAGAAAATACAACATTCGATGCACTTTAAATGGTAAGTTATCAGTAATCAATCGATTGATCTGTGGATATGGTTGCAACGACTGACTGTGTGAAATCAAGCCAATCAGATGACTCTATGACACAACGACGAGAAAATTGTCATACTATACAGCAATAGCAGGACTTGGAGATTCTTCAGATATATTCAATGATGTCATAGGTTCCTGCATGAGCGAAATCTCTTTCACAGGCGGCGAGTCCTTTTTCTTACGCAGCAAATTTCTCTCTTTTACCTGAAATGCACTTTGTCCTCGCAATATATTTAAGAATTTGGAACCCTTGTAGAAGCTCAGCATGCAATGCTTGTGGCCCTCACCTTGTACTCGAGGGTTGAATGAGGCACACCATAATAACTTCCAGCTCTATGAACGCTCATCTCGCCACGGCGTACGCTTTGAACTGCCTCGTCCAAAGCATTTTTATCATATTTCCTGAAAAGTTTGTATGGATGGAGCTCAATGAAGTATAGTCACTCTGGAAACAGATCGGAAATAGCAGGAAGGATCGCTGGCACTTCCACATGATTAAAGCAGGCCGAACTAGTGCTCCATATACACGGGTTTGGGTGGTGCACTTTTGGTTTTCCTAGAACAGAAAAAGCATGCGTGTGGGTACCACTCGTCTTCACAACTACAGGATATGCTGTACAGCAAGTCAAATGTCGAGCTCTGCACATTCGATAGGATGTAGAATATGTGGCGCTCTAGACTAAAAACTCCTTTCCGTGGGACTGCAATTACTGTTTATTTTTTCATAACCAAGAAACAAGGTATACCCTAGAGAAGAGCAGATGCGAAAGGAATGCTGTCGTCTACAATTCACCAATGGTACACAGATGTCCATCTCCGTGCGCAAACATGGTCACCAAGATGCGGGTGTGCCAGCGCGGGTCAAAGGATCATCGGATCAGGGAGTAGAAGCAACTGTTACATATCTAGCTGGGTGCACTTTTCCTGTGCGGCTTCAGAAATTCGCGATGAAAGGCGTGGAGTACACCACTTCAAGGGAGTCACCCCACCGGTAACGACTATGACCCTAAATGTGTTCAGGCACTCGAATGTTCTGAGCCTCGAAACCTAGTGATTCCGTTATGTTAGGGTTAGTTCCTCAAAAAGGGAGTTCAGCTTCCCTTTGTTTACTTCATACCGATTCGTGGAGATGCCCCAGGCCAGGGTGTGGTGTTGTGGGGTGTCCCCCAAGAGGCCCATCGCGCGGCGAAGGAAGAGACGCAGAGCGGTAAAGTACTAGTCGCAGCGCATACTGTAGCAGGTAGGCGTCAGGTTAAACAGAGTGCACTATACTACATCTCATATCGCACACCACGAGCTGCGTCTCGTTCTTTGCCTCGTCTGCGTCTCTTCCTTCGCCGCGCGATGGGCCTCTTGAAGGACACCCGCTGCTTTCCATTGCATGGCTCCAAAATCGCGTAGTCTTAGATTATTGACATGTGGTAGCTGTTTTGGATCTGTATTATATGTAGATGCCGGATGTCATACCTATACTGTCCTCGTTTTGGTCGGCTCTTCTTCCATTCAGACATTTCCTCCTTTTTGGTTTCCTCTTTCCCACCAGTTCCCATAATGTCTGCAGTCATGTTCGTCTGAAATAATCACAACTGAGTAATCATTTCGCAGTCAAAGGATAGAACTAGACGAACACTATTTTGACTGAAAAGGCTCTGCCACAAGTTCGTTGTCCATTCGCTATCCCAACAATTATCCGCATTGTACTTTTTCTAAAATGCCGTACAGTATGAAATCGGAGCAAAGGAAATTTTACAAATGCATTGTAATGAATTGAGCTTTCACCTACCTCACCATCCGTTCCATCACTACTTGGCGAAATTGATGAGCATTCAGTAACCGGAGTGGATGCCCTATAATATGCTCAACTGATAGTAATAATAATTAATAATTGTTCAATCTATTCTCTTCCCAATAAGGGCGGAAGTGGTGTAGTGACAAATGGCGCGCTTACCACGCGAGCGGTCCGGGGATCAAATCCTGGGTCGTGAGTCGCCCGAGCCAACCAAGCCTTCCATCCCTCCGGAGTCGGTGAATTGGTACCAGACTTGTCTGGGAGGATAAAAACACTGACTTGAACATCGGCTGGCCCCCGCAAGTCATTGTATAGGCCACATCGCATTCAAATGCCACTGCGAATGTACAAATGAAAGTAGAACGCGTGCCGCATCCCAAAAAGGGATTGATCAACGTGCTTCTATTTATTTTATCTCTTCCCACTGCAAATGGTGAGCCCACGTGTACTAGCTTTATTCGTTTCATTATTTTTCCTAGTGATATTGCTTGAGTGTATGTGCATCCCTCTGAGTGTATTGCAATAAATAGTAAATAATAAATACTAGTAAGAAGATACTCGGTTGTGAAACTTTATGCCTGCACTGTAAAACCTTTGCAAGTAAATTATTGAAATTGACAGTATCTCTTGAAACAAGAATGGACCAACTTCTTTTGTCTTTCCACTTGTTCTGCCAACTTTTTCTCGGCGTTGCTCTGACCACCCGGACGTCTTCTCTTGTTGAGTGGAGCTTGCCCTGCTTGCTCTTCCGCAGCTTCTAATTTGTAAATTTTGTTTCTGAGAGTTGAACGTGGGATACCGTAAACCACTGAGGCTCTGAAAACTATAAATTTGCGATTATAGAAGCAGAATAATAGCTCAGAATGTAGGTAAGCCCCATCCTCTGCAAAAACGAGCTTTGAGTCGTTGATTGAAAAGCGAGAGTTTTGTAACAATTTCAGAGACCTCCCAATTACACGTAGTGAAGGTAATTCGCTTTAACAAGTATGATCATAAGACATGGGTCAAGACGTGAGGATCGCGGCGACGCGCAAAGATTAGGTCAGTGCGCGCTTTAGCCAGCAATCCCACATGCGCGATGCCAGCGCGAGCAATTTTCGTCATGACCCTGCTTTACCCATGTCTTGATCCTTAATGTGTAAGTGAAGTGAGTATAGTGAAGTATTTAACGCTGTTTCTTATATATACAGAAATTCACTCACCGCCTCGTTCCCAGCCTCCCACACCTAATATCGTTGACTGCTGCTGTCAAATCAACTTGACTGTAGTTACGTTTTATGCCATACCCGTTCCTGACTATTTCTTCTTGCCTGAAATAGTGGTTATAACTGTAAACACAACGTTCATAAAAGCCTAACACATACATATTTAGAGGATGTCAGTTATACCTAAGCAATGTTATATATAAAGAATAAGGCATTTGAAGAAAGTGGGAAGGGACTCGAGCCCTTTCTGAGTGGCGTCACGCATTTTACTTCAATTTTAAATTGTTATCGCACATGAGGCAGACAATGAGGAACACAGCGCTTCATACAAGTTTAAGAGGGGTTTAGAAGAAAGCTCCCCTGAAATATGGAGCGGGAAGCTTTCGCCTAAAATTTAGCCTGAGCCTTTCCATTCGATCCCACAGCTGATGGAGCGGCGTCACCTGCCGCTACATCACACTCTCAGACTATTATATAACAACGTGCATACTAGGTAGTGCTGTAATTATTGTATAATATTATTATTATTATTAATGTTAGCGTAATTGTCTGGCTAATAATTTTTACGATGTTTGCATAGGCCATTACTATGTTGCTGTATTCTTATATCGGCTCCTTTATTTTTTAATTTTATAAGGATACTATTGTATCATGAGATGAATACAATATTTATAACAAATATAATACAAGAGAAATCAATTATCAATGCAATAACCTATCGTGGATTTTCAATAAAACTAAAGCCTCGAAGGAGATGCTCACCCAGTGGTCTCCTTTTCAGTAGCGTCGAGCGGCGGTTGATTTTGTTTTCGTTGCTTGTGGCTATAATTGGCGGTCTCGATATCGATAATGGCTTCCAATCCCTAAATGAGAAAGCAGTAAGTGTGCTATTCGACAATTAAGGATGATCATTACAAGTTACCGATTTTCGGCTTAGATCGAGCGGTTGGTCTTCACGTGTACGCCCTTCTGCAAGGCGTTCGCTGCTCAATTTCGTAGGGTGTTGAGATTGGAGTGGAGGATGTGATGGCTCGGCGTGCATATTCCACAGTGGATTCGCCAGATATGGATTCACCACGGCTAACTCTGAAAAGTCCCATTTTAATGTTGCAGCTAAGGGCAAAATGATTCTAGCAGAACTCTATGCAATAACATTATGTCTTAACATGTGTATTATTTCGACAGATTTTAAGATAAAGATTTATATTTGCTGCTAAGCACTTTTGAAGACCATGTCATTAATCATTGGTGGCATTGCTGTAAGATTTGGACCTTAGCTATTCATCCGAGGGTTGACCGTCCGACCGCTATAAAAACGGGAATTATAGCAAATCATTGATGATTTACTGCTTTTCAGAAACCGTAGATCCTAGCCTGTCCTGTGTACCTTGAACCATTCTTGAGACAGTATTGTAGAGATCTTTGTACCGAGTGGCTAGGATCTACTGCCATTTCGAACTGAATTATCACTTCAACTGGACTGTCCGACCCTCTTGTGGTGACACTTGGGTCTATGGCTCACATCCGAGGTTGCCTTCAAAAACGGTTATCTCTGTGACCTTTTTTCCTATGAGACTACTGCATTACTTGTGTAATGTCATCTTTATGGACCTGATTTCTAGCTATATCTTCGTATGTGGCAAATTGCCAAGTGAAGCTTCATTTCTGCATTCAAGGAGGCGGAACTATACAATACGAAGATAGAACAAGCGCCTTTATACTTAGGGTGAATCCACTCGGAAAAGGAATAAACTTGCTGGTTTCCATGAATGTACAACTGAGTACAAACGAGATTCGCTTGCAGCTAGTAGACCTTTTTGAAAACCGTGTTGCACATTAAGGGGGCGCCCAAATTGAGTTCGCGCTGAAAAGCCAAGTTCCAGCTCCTACGCTGGATCATACCTTGCTTGAGTGTTACATTTCAGTGCAGCTTAAAGCCCGATTTTATTTGAGGTGAAAGCGATCTTGTACGTTCTAAAGCCATCTGGCCGATGTTTTCACAGCAAGCCTGAGAAGGATCGACTGTCTTTCCGGGGTGAAATTCGAGTTCGAATTCTACCTTGAGACATTATGCAGTCGACGTGAGCACTCGTTTCTTGCGTTGGTCTTGCGAAGATTAAAGGAATCTTCCACGGACCATGGACCAGTGGGGGGACCGGAAGTGGTTGTGCGACGAAATGCATGGTAGGTACGGATCCACGTTCATGGGAAGGTTTGAAGCGAATCCTGTTCACGTTCGTGCGTTCGACACGTGGATCCGTACCTAACATGCATTCACAAAAACTTCCGGTCCCGCCCACTGGTCCATAGTCCGTGGAAGATTCCTTTATGGGATTAGAGATATGCTTTTCCGTTAGCCGAGCTGATAGTCGACAGTTTTCGCCGATTCCCGACACGCGTTCATAGCTAGGTAATCCTTCACACGTTAGGTTAGCATAATCTCAAAATGTTATAGAATACATTGTAACTCAGCGGAAAGTTTCACATGCTCCCCTTCAGTCAGCAATATCACCCAGGTTTCATCGGTGCGAAGTAGCTGCTCCGGTATAAAGGCAGTTGAAACGGTGACGGAAATTGGGTTACTTCTGAACACAAAAATTGTAACGTCGAAATGTTGAAATCAGAAACAAAAGTCCTCTAGCCACTTGAATATTGGGATGTTTGCGAAATGATCTCTGCAATTCTACTCATCAAGTTTCTCATTCCCTCGCGACTCTCACTGTTCGCCTTGAACTATTAGGTTGGAAAGAAAGTTCTGCAACACTCTTTCTAAAATTTTCTTTTTTTTTCTGAAAAATTCATAGGTAGCATTTATGACTACCAAATGCTAGAGCATTCTCATGGCTTCAATCCACGAGGTGGATACAAGTGCTGCAGTCAGTAGTTATCCAAGAAAATTCAAAAATCTCGAGCGTTAGCAAATCCGTACTCCGAGTCACTGTCTAGTACAAATGTCTACAAAACCATGGATTCGTGTCAACGACTGACACTATATGTAATAGCTTCTATAGGAATGCCGTTCACCGCTACAGCGTGTTTCACCTTTACCAGTGCTTCCGATCTTTTATTATTTTTATAGTAAGCAGCAGCATCCATCACACTCCATTACAGAAAAGGCTCCTACAGAAGCTCCGACTATCATACCCCTTGGTATGGGGCACCAAATGTGTAGGCATGGCCTAGCGTTGGTGGAGTACCAGAACTCGGCCGAGGTAGCCGTCAGAGCGCCTCGTACCGCGACAATATTCATTTCTTTCATAACATTGCGAATCACCATGATCCGAAATGAGCCCCGGTAAGATAATTACTGGAGTGTGCGGCCAGAGATTCTTTCCTCTCTTAGACGTTAGATCGCTACTGGTCGAGCTGTAATGAGCCTAGTATCCTACTTTCATCATCATCTTTATTAAGAAATAATCAGCGATTCAACTCCAACTCGAACCAGTGAATCGCCTCCTTCTCGACTCGCATCCCTGAGTTTTGGAAAGGAGCATCACAAAGAAATTTTTCTGAAGCGATTGCAGACAAGTGCGGCTACAACTTCATGGTAGATATAAGAACCGGTCGGAGTTTAACCAAAAAAGACTATCATACCCTTCGTTATGGGTGCACCAAATTGTGTAGGCAGTGGCCTAGGTTGGTGGCAGACCAGAAGCTGGCGAGCGTAGCCGTCAGAGCCCTCGTACCGCGACAATATCATTTTCTTTCATAACATTGCGACAGCCCATGATACGAAATGAGCCCGGTAAGAATATCTGTGAGTTGCGGCAGAGTTTCTTCGCTCTCTTAGCGTAGATCGCCACTGGTCGAGGCGTAAATGAGTGCTAGTATCCTGACCTTACATCATCAGTCCTTGATAAAGAAATGTAATGCAGCGATCAACTCCAACTCGATACAGTGAAGGTCGCCTCTTCCTCGACTCGCACTCGCCTGAGTTATTGGCAAAGGAGCATCACAAAGAAATTTTTCTGAAGCGATGCAGACAAAGTGCGGCTAAATTCGGTAGATATAAGACGGTCGGAGTTTTAACCAAAAAAGATAAAGATTAAAATCACAAATTTTTTGAAAAAGTGTGTGCCAGAACTTTCTTTCCACCATAACTCCAACCGCCCCCCCCCCCGCCACCGCCACCATGCATACTGTGCTCATACAGCTGCGTCCATAATTATATCGTCACCTAAGAAATTTTTTCAGGAACTTTTTCAATAATTTTTGTGTAAAGCCATCAGCGAGTCCAAAATTTACGTCCACTAAATGTTGGCCCAGATTCACACCAAGCTTGAAAATTTTTTCAGAGGTTCCACATGATATGGAGTTCAGAAGAGCTCTAAAAGTCTCTCATAACTTTTCGATGGAAACAAAGGCTGTGTTACAGAAAATACATCCACTTATATCCAACGGTGCTCTGTCGTCGAATCTTCTTGAGAACTTTATGTCTCAACGGACTTTTGTTTCATGCTCGTAAAAGAATCCCAAGATCATTCTTGATTTGTAAATGTGAAAGGCATTCATTTGTGGCAAGGAATCGTGGCGAAAACTGGGCTGATTTTTGCATGATGGTGCAGCAGAGTCGACTGGAGCAGAATCCCTTTCTCCTTATACATGAGTGTTTGTCTGCCTTTTTTTCAACATTTTCTTTCTTTTAGTAGTGCTTCACTAAGAAAAAAGCCATTAAGGGAAAGGTAAACGTGAGAAGAGAAACAAACAAATGCCAAAACGTATCGGGCAGAAGCGAACCTTACTTCAGTCGGCTCGGCTGCACCTTCATGCAAGAATCAGCCCAGTTTTCGCCACGATTCCTTGCCACAAATGAATGCCTTTCACATTTACAAATCAAGAATGATCTTGGGATTTTTTTACGAGCATGAAACAAAAGACCGTTGAGACATAAAATTCTCAAGAAGATTCGACGACAGAGCGCCGTTGGATGAAAGTGGATGTTTTTACTGTAACACGGCCTTTGTTTCCATCGAAAAGTAATGAGAGACTTTGAGAGCTCTTCTGAACTCCATATCATGTGAAACCTCCGAAGAATTTCCAAGCTTGATGTGAATCTGGACCAAATTTGGTGCGATTGCGTTGTTCAACAGTTTCTGCGATGTTTTTCCCTTTTTCAAAATCCAACAGCAGTCTTTATTATGCTGTTCTCTTAAAAAGTGAAGTGTTACCATAATGAAAAAGTTTCGTGGAACAGAAGTAAAAAGTAATTGATAAACGTGCGGTGGACGTATAATTTTGGGACATTGGCTGAGTGGCCTTTCACACAAAAATTATTGAGAAAAATTCCTGCGATCTCAAATAGGGAATTGATGTTCATAGGTAACTGCGTATTTATATGCGATATATTGTGACGTAGGAGACTTTTTTCGAAACATCTATATCTATGCGATTTTGGGAAATTCTTAGGTGGACGTATAATTATGGGACGCAGTGTAGTAGTCGTTGGAATTTGAAAGGTTGCCGAGCCTTTTCCATATGACTATAAGCAATACCTCCTAAAGCGAAAATCTGTGTTCGCCAGCCAGTGCCCTTCGTTTTCAGGTTGACTTCCCTCACCTTTATTTTCTGTTGTCGCACATTACAGTCATCAGCCATTCTATGTCGGAAAGTTGGTTCTTTCACACATATCACTTATCTGTGTTGAAATATCTCTATCGCTGATTTTGGAAGCTATTTTCTTTCATATCGTGTTGTCAAAGGTGCACAACAACCAAATAAACAAACGAAACTAGTGGGCTTGAACATCTCAGATTCACTGAAATTATTAAGGTCTCAGCTGCGCGAAAACCTAATAGCACACGCAGCAATAGGTTTCGGAATTTTCAAGGATTAGTGAACTTAAGGAGTTATTAGATTAGGCGGCTGCCTGTTAGAAACTCTTTTTCAGAAGAAAACGTTCATCATGAGAACCATCTTCGGGAGTTAGAGCCAGAGCACTGCGCAGAAACCGGGATACGCCGTGTCATAGAGGAAATTGTGTGAGCGCGTAGAAATGCAATTTGTTTTCGTATTCACAGTTTTCCTCCCCATCAAGCAGGGGCATACAAACGTGGCAATAGTAGATATTCCAGAATATCCTCTAAAACGCTCAAAAAAGCTTCCTTTGAAAATGCTCTTTTGATGCCTCACCAAACACGCTTACTCCAGAAAGCCAAAATGACCAAAACGTCCCCTCAAAATCCCTCATCAATGTTAACATCCTTCAAGGACTCCATTCATCTCTAGCGTATACCACGTGAGTAGTCTACACGCCCTACACTTACTACGCTGTATAAAGATTACACGTTGTTTCTGATAAGCGACTGGAACATTGTCATGCCAGATTCAGTGAGTAAAAGAAACTTACGATTCTCGAACATCATTCGATTCAATTCCGGAGTCACAGTGGGCGGCATACCTAGGAGTCCGAGCATTTGCATCTGCGACATCATTTCAACTGAAAATATTAACGG